ATGAAATATGCAAGGGTCTATGATTAGATAAATAAACATTTTAACAAAGACAGGGGCAAGAGGTGTCTGGAATTGATTATTTATTAGTAAAGCATTGTTTAGTTAGTCGGTGTGCGGTCACTGACTGATTAAACACCCCCACTGACGAAGTATCAGAAGTCTTACTGATATAGAACTCTTTCTTACAAGGAGAAAGAGACAGAAAATCTTTTGATGGTGGACAGGGGCAGATCCAGGATTAATCGAAACTACCCCACCCCCCAACAATTTTCTCATTAAAAGTTTAAAAAGTGTATAGATATATAACATATTACCTTAAGCTGGTGTGATTGAAAATTGTCGATTTGGTAATTGATTTAAGAGTAACTTTTTTGAGTTGGAAGTTAAATGCCATATTAATTTATTTCTTTTGGATCATTGAAATTGAAATCATACCTCAAAAAGTGCATACAAAAAAAGTCCTGTCAGAGTTGTGCATTTTATGCATTAACAATAAGGGTTCTACTTCTTATTAAGTTTTATTTTTAGAACATTGCATTGTTAATTTCAATTTGTACATAATTATATTTCTTTTCTAAAATGGTAGAATATCATATAATAGAATACATTTCCAAATATTTTTCGTAAAGATTCTTTGCAAATTAGAAAAAGTTAATGAACTACCATGGGATGAGTAAGAATACCGCATTTCCATTGTGATGTGACTGAAGTCAAAAAATAGTGCAAACTTTTTTTTTCAAAAATGATTGTTGAACGACATAAATATGTGGCAAGTCATCAGAAAAATAACGTAAATATAAAATATGAATTTAATTTTTGAGAATTCTTGAGGTACATGAACTTCAACGCTTCACGCCTGCATATTTATCATGAAGCGCTACCGCGAAATATGCAGACGTGAAGTGTCATAGTTCATGTCCTCATGAATTCTCAAAAATTAAATTCATCTCTTAAATGATCATATGCTTAAATACCATTGGATTAAGATCTTCACAACCATATTTTCCATATATTAACCAATCACTAAAAGGAATATGGACTTGATAACTTGCGTACCATACCGGTCATTACTCTTAAAGTTCTGACTTTGCTCTAAGTGAATTTTTGTTGAAGCCATGGTATTGTTTCGTGAAAAGTTAAAAGTTATTATTATTGGATGAATATGAAAGAAAATTTTAGCTTCTGAAATACATGATTATTGATTGAAAGGTATATAGGATATAAGAACCAAAGGGGAAAGAAATTCAGAGTCAAAAACAAGCTAAAACAGTGCATGTCTTCATGTAATCATTTCATGTCATTTAGTCAGAAGGACCATCAGACTGATTTCATCAGGGACTAGATTTTTTTATCAAAATTGAAATATGGCATTGTAATTACTAAAAATATTTCTTTTCCAGAAACTACTATATTAAATGGAGAATGGTCCATTATAATAGAAGATATTAAGTGAATCCTCTTGTATTATCTACTAGTACTACTATATCAGAACTGCTGCAAGCTGGCGATGAGTTAAATCTTGTAGCGCATCAATTCTGTAGGACACATTGTTTGTCATAGAAGTTGTAATTACAGCTCATTGTCAGCAGTGAAAATCATTAGATTTAATCAAAAACTCCAAGGAAATCAATTAGACCCTCTTCTAAAGTTGATGTTTAAATACATATATTTTCAATGGTGAAGTTTTAGCTCTTATAATATTGCTACCAGGCAATCATAAAGCTTTAAAATAGGAGATAACATTTTTTTTTTAAGTAATCAATAGTTGTCCAGATCTCTCTGTGCCGGTTGGAACACTGTTAGATTGTCATTTTGCTGTGTTGTCACATATAACATGCAAAATGAGGCAGAGTTTCCTTTTGTGGTCTGGCTTGGTATTAATGGGATATTAGCCAGTTTCAGCATATAAGACCATTTGTTTTCATATGTCAAAATCTGATGGGTTAACAGGTGAAAATGGCCAAAAAATATATATCTGATTAGATTTGTTAGATGTTGAGTAGAAAAGCTAATGATAAATAATTGACATTTATGTCTGTAGGTTTGCTTTCTCTTGGGTCCAGTGTTCATTAATGTATATTGTTGGATTGCCTGAGCTAAGATGGAGGCAGCTAGCATTTGTTTTAGCACTATTGTTAGGAATACATGCCTTGCCACTAGAATTGTACTGGGTTTGCTCTGACGTTTTAAGAATCTGTTAATTACCAAGAAGTTCATAAACATGGTTTACACATGGTAATATTGCTGGTTTCAACGTGAGACTTGGTGACCATATATAGCTTTATTTTTATCACTGCATTTATTGAATTGTCATAAACTTTGTTTTGCCGTTGATGGTTTATTGTATAAGTCATTGACTTTACATTACGAATTGTGTTCTCTGAAGGGATTGATGGGGCTATAATATATTGCTTATTTAGCTGTGAAATATTGGAAAGGGTGTATAAATATACATATATATGTATATATATTTAAAATAAAGAAAAAAACACGAAAAACCTCAGTAAAGCTTTAGGCCTTTCATTCTAGCTTCAGAAGCTTTACAAAATAAACAACAGTAGTTACATAGTAACGTTACACAATGATACGTGGAGTATATGACGTCGTAATTGTGAAGTCAAATGTACTATGACGTCATAGTCAATTGTTCTTTGCGTTCAGGTAAAAAGTTCAGGAAAACTTCAATAAAAATACAGATATATATATGCATACATCATTAAATTGATATATATATATTAAATCAGATTGTTTAGCTTTGGTTTCAACGTACAACTAAAATGTTTTTCTTTTTGACGTTTACAAATATCATTTCCTCCTGTTACTTTATAAAAAATCAGAATCAGAACATCAACTCCATTGTTAACCAACTGAACACCATTCTCAAAGAGGACCAAACAAGAAAGCCAATTTATGAAAACGTACAATTTATCTCAAGTAGACGTCAACCAAAGAACCTGAAAAGACTACTATGTAACTCTAATTTTGAAGAAAACTATTCAGTGACTAAATGTAAAAATCCTCGAAGTGGAACCTGCGACCATCTAACTGAAGACTTTAAAGGCGGAAGATTTACAGTGAACGCCAATATGTCGTGTGATACTCAAAATGTTTTATATGTTATAACCTGTCCAGGGTGTAGTGAATATTATTGGTGAGACCAGTAACACTCTCCGTACTCGGGTTCATATTCATTAACAGCATATCAACATGCCAGAATACAGACAGATAACATTTAGTGAACATTTAGACGTGTGTGGACAAAAGAAATTTAAGATATTTCCTTTTTGTAAAGTAACAGGAGGAAATGATATTTGTAGACGTCAAAAAGAAAAACATTTTATTTGTACATTGAAACCAAAGCTAAACAATCTGATTTAATATATATATATCAATTTAATGATGTATGCATATATATATCTGTATTTTTATTGAAGTTTTCCTGAACTTTTTACCTGAACGCAAAGAATAATTGACTATGACGTCATAGTACATTTGACTTCACAATTACGACGTCATATACTCCACGTATCATTGTGTAACATTACTATGTAACTACTGTTGTTTATTTTGTAAAGCTTCTGAAGATGGAATGAAAGGCCTAAAGCTTTACTGAGGTTTTTTGTGTTTTTCTTCTTTATTTTAAGTATTTTATTCTGACCACTGAGACTTTTTATTGGGTAATCTATGTACATGTATATATATATACAGTCAAACCTTGTTATCTCAATGGGGCTCAAGAAAAAACTTCAAGATATCCAAGGATTTGAGATATAGGTTAATATATATAAAGAAAATTCCAACTTATTTAACATCAGTATGTAGATGTTTCTTTTGATGTCGAAAGAGGAGATTACATATTATTTACACACACATAATTTCTCATTTTCTCAAGGGAATTTAATGAACAAGAATTTTTTTGTGATTGGATGTTGTAAGTTCAATATAGATTTTGGTAAGCAGCCAAAATTAAATTTAAAATCAATAGTTGAAATCATTATTCTGACCAGATCCCTATATTCTAATGGTGTTTCTCTTCAATCACCAAACTTGGGAAACACAGTGTCACTGTTTGAAA